TTCCGACTGCTTTTCGCTTCTTTTTCGCGTTCAGATCCAGGCCGTCATCCGAGTCGGCGTCCCATACGACCTTTTCCTCAAAGTCAGGGACGAGCTTGCGCTTCCCGAGAGCCCTGACGCCGGGCTGCACCGTCGCATCGGGCTCAGAGGCGGGCTCATCATCGGAGAGAATCTCGATCACGCTGGCAGGCTTGTTGGGCGCCATTAGGGCGCATGGTGGCCGAACGATGTCCTGCCAAATCACCAGGAACCTTGCCAGAACCTGTTGGTTTGGGTTGGCGGGTTGGCGGGGTACTCGAGATGTGCGCTGGGGGAGGGGGGGGCGGTCGACACGAGGTGGTGCGAGACGCGACGGGGAAGGAGCGTGATGTCAGACCCATGGAGCGAAGTCAGGTGACCTGAAGCCTGCCCTACAATCATGTCTGATGCTTTTTCTTGTTTCTGTCCCCCTCACTTTACTTTTCTGGAGCTATATTACTACTATTTTCCGATTCGTCAGAGCCGGCTCTTGCTTGACCTCCATGGGTACTTTGAAGCTTTCGGTCGCTTCTTTTGGGCGATACCAAGTTGTCATTGGCTTTTGCAATCACACATCCATCACTGCGATACACTCTGTCACAGCACACGTAGACTGCATGATACGCTCCGGCAAACCGCCATATTTATACAAAGAAACTCATTATGTACTGATTGTAGTGTAAGTTGCTCATCACAAGTGCCTCGAACTGAGACTGGCAAACGCATCGGGACTGTGACGTCCGTTGGCCCAGTTCATGTCTGCAAACGCCATGCTCTCGCGGCTGACGTGTGCCTTTTGCTGCTGCGCGCCGACATGGACAGCGGGGGCTGCGGGTGCCGGAGCTGTCACCGGGGTCGCCTGCGCCGTAGGCACACTGCCTGCGAAGAAAGGGTTGTTGCTGCTGCTGGCCAGTGGCATCGACACGCTGCGCATCGGCTGCTGGAGCTGTGGTTGGGCGGTCTGTGCCTGCGCCGGTGCCGCATTGACTTGGTTCTCAAAACTGGGCGCCGCAGCCCCAGTCTGAGGTGCGTATGGGTTGCCTGTCTGTTGTGGAGCGAGCTGTGGTTGATTGAAGAGAGCCATGATGGAGGCTTTATCCGCTCGCTGGGCATACTGGTACGTGGGCTGCGACGGAGCGTAGTGCCCTTGTTGCTGGAAGGGCTGAAATTGCTGCTGGAACTGGGGCAGCTGCGGCTGCTGCTGCTGCTGCTGCTGGAAGTGTTGTTGAGGCTGGACTTGCTGTTGAGGCTGGGGCTGTGGCTGAAATGGTTGCTGCTGCTGCTGCTGCTGCTGCTGCTGCTGCTGGATCTGCGCTTGCGTGAAGAACGGATTGCCAACTGACGGCGAGAGCGGCTGTGGGGAATTGTAGAAATTCGACTGCGACTGCTCCGGAATCTGTCCAAGGGGTGGCGACTGAATCCTGGTGGGCGAACGTGCGAAAGGATTGTTGGCAAAGCCGACAGACGAGTTTGTGATGGTGTTGACGGCCAGATTCTGCTGTGGCATCGAGAGTTGGGATTGTGTCGTGAAGAAGGGGTTGCTTCCTGTGGGTTGCTGCTGGACGGGCTGCGGGTATGTCATATTACTATTAAAATTCATGGGCGCGTAGGTCTGTGGTGCCTGTGGCATCGGAGGCGTTGCCGCGGCGTGATCGTAGGTGGGCTGAGATACACCCCCGGTATGATTGGGAAAGAGAGGCTGGGCTGGTGGCGGCGCCAGAGACATGTTGCCAAAGGCCTGACTGATGTCCTGCTGCTGCAGTGAGGCTCCGAAGGGGTTCGCGCCGATGTAAGGGTTCTTGTTCTGGAGTGTTCCGGTGGATTGCGCCGTCTGAGGCTGCGCCGGCCACATGTCAAAGGGGTTGTTCGATGTTGCGGATTGCGGAGAGGGCCTGTCTTGGAACGTCGACTGTTGCGAATGGGGGCCGAGCTCGAGGACATGGGCGTCATGGAG